AGGATGATTCAACCACTCAACCACTAGATGTCGCTGAAAACAACAAATCCTACACACTGTTCCTTTAATTTCAGATTTCTAAGTATTTTTTCAAGTCTTTTACAAAAGGTAGTCTTCTTCTAGCTGGTAAAAGTAAAATATAACAACGTGAATGCAGATCTAAACACACAACAGATCCCAGAGTTAACTTACTTCAATCATTGGGACAATGTAGCGCCAGCCTCTATTCAGAGCTGTGATGCTTTTCATTTCTTCTGCTTCCAGAGTGAAGTCAAACACCTGACAACAAACCAGAATCAACCCTTCACCTCGATGACACACTCAATGTAATCTAAACTATAATCCCTTGTTTCTTGCAGATAGGCCTGAGCAGGGATGAGATTCTGACAGATTAGTGTTAAAGAAAAAAACGTTTGCTTTTATTTGACAGAAATGTAAATCCTATAACTACTGCTACCTAAATATTATCAGACAAGACTTAATGATTGTTATTTTATAGGTATTATAATAAAAAATACAAAAAAAATGCAATAGTTTTGATGTAAAAGCAAAGCATTTCTCCTAACCTGAATGTTCTCCTGGATGCGAGATTTTGTCACACTCTTGGGAATTGTTACCACTCCTCGTTGTGTCTGCCACCTGGAACACGTCATTTTAAGCATCACATAAGTTCATGTTCATGAAACCCAAAGCAGGTACAGAGGTCACTTTATTAAAAAAAACTTATTTTCGTCACTTGTATTTTTTTCCTCCTCACAGAATAGAACCAACGTAATACAGGCTGCAGCATGATCTGAAAACTCACCTTAGGATGATCTGAGCAGGTGACATTTTATATTTCTCTGCAAGTGAGGCAATAACTGGTTCTTGGAGCAGGACAGGTTCGTCTGGATGTTTCCAGGCCCTATCAGGAGACCCCAGAGGACTATATGCCGTCATCACCAGACCCTGATCCCGACAGTGGGCCAGCAGCTCCACCTGGGCCAGGTACGGGTGGCTCTCTACCTGCCATAAGCACACAAAGACATGCCAGGGTCAGCTCAGATCCACCGTCCATCATCACCATTACCATCATCACCATCATCACAAACACGGTGTACCTGAAGAACAGTGGGTTTAATCCTGGCCACAGACAGGATGTCATCGATCTGCCTGCTGTTGAAGTTGGACAGTCCGATGGACCGAACAAGACCCTTCTCCACCAGTTTCTCCATGGCGGCCCAGGTCAGCTTGTAGTCGGTGTCGTCATACAACAAGGTGCCGTCCTCTTTTCTGGGGAAAGGAACGTTTCCTCGTCTAGCCAAAGGAAGGCGAGGACAGTTTATGTAATAAGGGTTTATGTTCAAGAGGTAAGTTTTAACATTTTTTACGCAATATCAGAAGACGAAACTGTCAGTTAAAATAAACAAAAAGGAAGCTAAAAAGAACAAGAAAAGCTGAATGAGCAGATTTAAAGGTGTAAACGAGCAGAAGCTAAAATCAGTTGAATGGATGCTACAAGCAGTAGCTTTAAAAACACCATTAATTAAACACTAAAATCAGCAAAGCAGCAACTAAAAGCTTTAAAAACAGTAGCTAAACACTCAGACTTAGCATTCACACAAATAAAACAAACATTACTGACACTAATTACATGCTTAGCAAAACACTAAACTTTTAGATGAAAAATAAAAAAGATTTCATTGTTTGGGGGATTATAATTCAGTAAATTATCACTTGTTCTGACAACTACAGCTAATTTTCTCCAACAAGTGATGATATTCTTAGACCTCCATGGAGGCTCTGCTCACTGGAAGGCATAAGGCCAGTGCATGAGGTAGAGGTCCAGGTAGTCCAGTTTCAAGTCCTTCAGAGTCTTCAGGAGGGCTGGCTCCACATCCTCTGCTTGATGGCAGGTGTTCCACAGCTTAGAGGTGATGAACACATCCTCCCTCCTCAGGGACTGATAAAGAACAAACAGAGTGACCGAGAGAGGCCGTTCTTTAGAGAGAAGCAAAAACCCCTCACATTTCCTCACTGGCCTGAACAAATCTATGATCTCACCTTCAATTCACATCACAAGTCATTAAATATGTCAGGAAACACTCAGCTGTAATGAGGCGGAGCAGTTTTACCTTGTCAGACCCGAGCACCTCCTGCAGAGCATCTCCCACCTCGGTCTCATTTGCGTAGATGGAAGCACAGTCCAAGTGACGATAGCCGGCCTCCAACGCCCACACCACAGCTTGTTTTACCTGTGAAAGGCCAGGTCCAGTGAGGACAACCGTTTTCATTTAACAATCACGTGAAAGGTTACCGCCATCACTTGTAAAACTAAACAGAAGCTCCTGAGAATTAAAGGCAAACAAAACTGTACCACATTTTTATCTGTCACCTTTTAAAGGGATCCATGATTACTTGTAACATTAGACTCCATTTAATAAACATTTTAACTGTAAAATAAAGACTGTAAAATACTGTAGGATGTTCAGTTTTTATCATTTTTAAACTAAAGTTTAAAAATATATTACACAGATGGGGCCATTTTATTTACACACAAAGCATTCTGGGTAAATTAGGACGTGGGTAGGTCCTTGGTGCAAGGCTGCTAGCGAGCTATATCCACCCTGAAGGTTAATCTTGGACAATATCTGATGATCGACTCTTAAATGAAACCAGAGAGCGTTGACAGAGAGGAGAAGGTAGAAATGACTAAGTGAAAATATGGATGGAGGACAACAGAGCTGCTTCATGGAAGAAGAACCCCATCTTAGCCTGTTAGCTTGAACATTAGCCCCAATGTTATCACCATATATACAGAATGTATTAGCTCAGCGCTACACATTCTCCTCTCGTCACTGAGGTCCTCCATCCACATGACAGAGAGGGGAATGCAAGAATGACTCAGTCTGCAACTGAAAATATGGATGGAGGACCTCAGTTTAGTTTGTTTGTCGCGCTAGCACTGAGCTAATACATATAAGGCAATACCGTCAGCGCTAGCCAAAGGCTAACAGGCTAAGCTGAGGTTCTTCTTCCATGAAGCAGCTCTGTTGTCCTCCATCCATATTTTCAGTTACAGGCTGAGTCATTTCTACCTTCTCCTCTCTGTCAACGCTCTCTGGTTTCATTTAAAAGAGTCGATCATCAGATATTGTCCAAGATTAACCTTCAGGGTGGATATAGCTCACTCACACCGAGGACCTATCCACGTCATCATTTACCCAGAATGCTTTGCATGTAAATAAAATGGCTCCGTCCATGTTAAAATATATTTTGAAAAAATATGAAAACTAAACAGCCTACAGTATTTTTACAGTCTTTATTTTACAGTTAAAATATATGTTTATCAAATAAAGTCTTATGTTACAACTAATCATGGATCCCTTTAATAGATTTAGTAAACTTAAGTTCCATATTTTCCAGACTATAAATCAAACCTTTTTTTTCTCAAAGTTTGGCTGGTCCTGCTGCTTATAGTCAGGCGTGACGTTTATATAAAGTTTTTTTCCCCTCTTCATGACATATTTTTTGACTGATGTGGATTATACTCCAAAGAAACTTATTGTTTGGAAAATACAGTTTTTGGGACGTTGTGTAAAACAAATAACAACAAACCCCTAAATCTTTTGAAATTCTATGATGAGAAACTGTTGAACTATTTGTTCACGTAGTTGTTTACAAAGTGGTGAACCTCGCCCCGTACTTGCTTGTGAATGGCTGAGCCTTTTGTGGATGCTCTCTTTTGTTGCCCCTCTCCCAGCTTTTTTAGAGCGTGTTGCAGGGATCAAATTCAAAACGAGTGAATATTTACAAAAAAGTAATAAAAATAATAAAGCTGATCCGTTTGAACATTAATGATCTCGTCTGTGTAGTGTCTTCAATTGATGTAGGTTAAAAAAGATTTGCAAACGTTGTTATTCTATTTAGGTTTTACAACTTATCAACTTCATTGGAATTGTAGCCGTTTATTGGGGCTGCAATGATTAGTTTACCATCAGAAAACAGTGTTTGTTGGAAGCAGAGCTATCAGATATGCTAACACTTTATATTAAATCACTAAATATATGCTAATATTAGGGGTGCACCGATTGCAGTTTTCTTGCCGATCTCCGATTTCCGATCTTTAAAAGTCTGACCTGCCAATTCCGATTTTGTTCGATACCGATTTACAACCAACACAGTCAGGTGTTATAAGGTCACAATACGTCTTCAACGTTCCAATCTTATTTTATTGAAAAATATTGAACAATACATTTAAAACAATACAAATTGGGTCCTGGTTCCTGTCGATGGGAACCTCAGAAAAGTAGTTCTGTACCTGCATGGCTGAAGGGCTGGCCAGCTGTTGCTCCTTATTTATGTTCTCCTGCAGGATTTCTTTGTGTACTGCAAACAGTAGACTGAACCTTTTGGCTGTAGGAGCATCTGTGTCAGGAGGTCCCAGTTCAGCTGATGATCCTCCAACAGGCTCTTCATCCACAGGTGTGCATCTGGTCTCCCTCTCTGCAAGTTTGGCCAAAAGGAGCTGTTTCATCTCATCTCTCACCTGTGCTGAGAAGTAGTGATTCTTGTACCTTGTTTTGCATAAAGAAAGAAAAACGTGTCAATCACTGTGTTTTATAAACATCACACATTTTTTTGACCTGCACGTAAAAAACAAAACAAAAAAAAAAACATTTTGATAAAATACAAATTTTAATTTAAATGTTCACAGAAATATAGTAGTAGGTTAAAAGTCATTTTGTGTAGAACAGGGGTGTCCAAACTTTTTTTAATGAGGGCCAAGTACAGAAAAATAAACAAAGGGCCGGGCCACACACTAGAAGTGACATATTGATACTCACTTTCTCTATTCGAATCATCCTTCAGGGAGATGGTCTTCACATGGGTTGTTGTGGGGGGTTTATTGAGGGGGTTTTAAGGTCAAGTGAGGGGTTGGTTAACTGTCCTTCACACCATTTTCTGTAAAATAATGAAAACATAAATGGATCAGTTTTACTGTAAAAATGAGATACATTCATTCATCAATAATGTGTGTATTTCAAACTCACCTGACGTTCAAATTGTTCGTCAATCCACTGCGCAGTGAGACTCAACATGGACATTAAACTTACATCAGAAGTCCAGATGTCTGTTGAGCTGAGCTGTTCAGCGTCGGCTAGCAGGCTGCGCGTGTGTTTCAAAACTTGATCAAACAACTCCGGTAATGCAACGTCGGAAAAGTATCTTCGACTCGGCAGATTATATCGTGGGTTCAAGTGCTGCATCTGAAACCTTGATCCTCGACGACTGAAAACGGTAAGAAGAGCTAACATCGGGCCTGCTGGCTCTGTGCTTCTACTAGCTTTAGCTTTAGCCTTAGCTTGATTGCATTCTTCAAACGCTGCATACTCAGCGGCGTGGTGGTTCCTTAAATGGCGAACGAGGTTTGTAGTATTGAAGGATCTGATTTTGTCTCCACCCCGACATACTTCAGTCTTACATATATTGCAAATAGCTACCTTTTATCGTTTTCTTTAACAGTATAATACCGCCAAACCAGCGACATAACGCCTGCTCCGACTACGAGTGAACTGAACAACGCATGTGCAGACGACGTGACTCGGTGGGCGGGTCTGTCAGCCCTCTCTCACAGCATACAGCAGAGGAAAAGTGGGCAGGCAGCTGATTTTCCAACCTTTGCGAAAGTAGGTCAAATCGGCAGAAAAAATTATTTTCTCATGCAAAAATCGGTCTATCGCTGATCACCTAAAATTAAGGAAATTGGGCCGATCTATCGGTGCACCCCTAGCTAATATATTATTAAACACTAATATTCTGTCCTGTCTCATCTTATCCCATTTTTTTGATGGCGTTGAAGTCTTATAATTTTTGACTTGTCACATCCAGCAAGATTTCAAACAGGGTGGATTATTTTTATGAATCTGAACGTCACTTTGACCAAAGTCATTGCTCTTAGTTTATTTAGGACTTGCAGCAATGTTACGGTAGAGACACTGGACAACAGGGTGACACTGACAGGTATGAACAGGTGAGATGAGATGTGCACTGGAGCTAGAACAGGAGGTGCACCCACAGGAAGCTTAGATGGAAGTCATGACAAAAATAATCGTTGACTATTCGACTAATTGGAAAAATAATTGCAGATTAGTCGACTATCACAATAGTCATTAGTTTCAGCCCTACCGTTTATATCCTACTAATTTATCCTAATCAAATGTCTACCTTGTTGATCTAATTTAATATTCAACATGTAAGAACAAGTAAGTTTTTAGTCTCAGTCAAAGTAACAACATACACTGACAGCAGAGCTCTGGATTCACTAAATAGACGTGTGAAGTACTTAATTATTGCATGATCACGCCCACAAGATGGCAGCCACAATTCTCATCTCGTACCATAAACAGCCATTCCATAACAACATATTTATTTTCCCATCAGTGGGATGTTCTGTTTGCTACTTGTTAGCCTCTACCTTTCCTGGTTCACTCTTCCATGTTCCCAGTCCAATCAGGGGCATCTTCCTCCCTGTGTTGAGGACTGCAAAGTCATTCATGGCTCTCCAAAACACCTTAAAGGGACGAGCAGAAATTATTTGGCACAAAGTTTAAAAGTGATGTAGTTACACATTTCTAAACTGCATTATTTGTAGAAGCTTTCATATATGAATTAAGACTCTAATTCTACAATGTGACTCATTTTCCACAATGGTCAAAGATCAAAATTCCATTTTAAACCTCTATCAGTTTGCATTAACACTGGTTTGTGGTTATTCTATACATCCTAAAATACAATTTTGTATTAAAGAAATTTCCTCTAGAGAAAGAAAGTCTGCACTCTTTCAGTTCTGCTTTTTATACACTGCTCAAAAAAAAATAAAGGGAACACTTAACGCACGCTAAGTCCAAGTAAATCAAACTGTTGTGAAGCACATTCAACTCTACAGAACAAAGTACTCAATGCGAATATTTCATTGATTAAGATCGGGAGTTAGCGTGCGTTGTTTAAGTGTTCCCTTTATTTTTTTGAGCAGTGTATATCAGGACATATTTTAAAAAAGAATATACTCTTTACCAGGTCCCAAAACTATTCAAATATATAGTGTGCTTTCTGAATTCTGATTTTTATAACTTATATATTATATAAATATTAATTTCATTTAAAATGCAGAGTTAATGCATTTAAACCCCCTCCACTCTATAAAAAAATTCTTGGTAAGCTGCTTCAGCATACTTGCTGTCTTCTTTGCTACTTTTAGCTTTTGTTCTGATATTTTAGCTACCATTCTTCAACTTGTAGCTACATTTGTGTTAATTTAGGCTACTGGTTTACTGCTTTCAGTACAGTTTTCACCTATTTTGCTGATTTTATACGTTAGCTAATGTTCTTTAAGCTTATATTCCTGTCATTTTAGACTTATGTTCTAAATTGATTCAGCTCTCAGCATTAACGCTTCTCTTTTCTTCCCTAGTACAGATAAAAAAAGGTCAATGAATTAAGATGAAAGCTAACCTCATTAATAAATGATATTTATGACGCACAGTCTGTGCTAAAATATGCACTGCGTTTTAAAATATGAAGGATATTTACTATGGATTTTCAAAATCTGCCATGTCAGCTGATTTCCTGGAGAGTCACGCGCATTAGCACCGCTCGACGACACAGCTTCAAAACTACACCGATGCATTGATAGCATGTTAGCAAACAGCTAATATATGCTATGCTGGTTTATTTAATAAATTGTACATGTGTTGAATTTCAAATTGAATGCGTTGTCACCAAGTGGTGTTAATCTTTTTATTTTCTTAGTTACATAAAAAAAAACAGTCGTACAATTAAGCCGCCGCGGCAGCATTTAAACGACAGCTAGCTAGCTTTAGCTTCTTCATTCCTCTGTACATGATAGCCTAACTCACTGTCCGCTTTTTCTTCAGTATTTAAGCCTATTCAGCTAAAACAATCAACTTACCCGCATACCAGTGCCACACCATGTTACTTTAGCAAGACATTTGAACAGGTGCATGACTATTTAAACACAGGTGACGTTTAAAGTCTGTGCTCATTCAACTCACCACCAAGATTGGTCCGTAATTAATACAGTCCGCTACTTCCGGTGAGAACCTGCTGCTGTAGTTTTATCCACACAGCAGGTATTACGCAGGACTGCTGTTTTTTGCACACGTTTTCAAAAACTCAATATCATTTTGTTCGCTTCGGTAAAACACAAGTAGGAGTCTCTGCGGACGAGTGCGGGCAAGTGGGCGTGTCACAAGGAAAGGTGATTCTAAAGCAACACGTCTGATCGGACTTCGTTAAAGAAACACACCTGACTGGACAAGCAAAAAAAGAGGCGTTACTGTACGGCACCACCTTTTTCTGGAGAACCCCAGTTGGGTCACATTTCTCCTGGTTAACCTTAGTGTTGGGGTCAGGGTCAGGCTGTAAAGAGATCAAGCAGGATCTAAGGATACCGTCATGTAGGCCTCGTAGCCCACAGTGTTTATGCTTTAGGAACGCCTACTCTTGTGACACGCCCACTTTGATTGAGCAGCATGAGCAACCACGTTGTTTCAGTGTTCTCGCGAGAACGCAGTATCAAACTCATGATTGGACGCCTTGCATAAAGAGCGCCGCCATTACTATGTGTTGATTGTGGACGTAAGAATGTTACATTCATACTGTAATTACAGCTTTGTACCATCCTTTAGTGGCTTAACAACCCACCAGAGCAAGTTTTTCAATATTATGTGAATGTGTAATGTTTAGGTACACACAATAGTGATATTTAATTATATATGAACGTTTGTACTGGCCAACAATAATAAAATATACCTAGTCTAGTGATGCCTTGTCTGATCAATATTTTTTCTGTGGTCAGAGGGTCCGGTGGCGCCGGTACATGGCAGCCCCACCTCTGTCAGTGCACCCCAGGGCGGCTGTGGCTACAGTGTAGTTTGCCATCATCAGTGTATGAATGTGAGGGTGAATGGGTGAATGTCTGTAACTGTAAAGCACTTTGGGGTACGGAGGGACTTGATAAAGCGCTCTATAAGTTCAATCCATTTACCATTTATTTCATATTTTTCACACAGATGACACATTTACTTCCAGTTAGTCTGGTATATTGTCACACAGTTTAAGTCATTCGTCATATACTGTATATGTGTACTTTTTTGGTGGGAGACTCAGGCATAAATAATTTCAAATTTTGAGATGTTTCTGGTAATAAATAAAAAGTAATAGTAAATACCAGTGACAATAACAATGTTTCATAAATGTAAATGTGTATAACAGTGTATCAGTTAATGGGGTAAGTCCTGGGGTCTCTGATGCTGTTTTTAATACAGCTGGATTGGAATTTAAAGGTAGTAAAGGTATTTTAAAGGTATGCAGAATGAAGGCAATTAACTAAGCAGGGAGTTTTTCCTCTCCACCGTTTACTCAGGATGGGAGACTGTGATGAAGTGATTCAACGCAGCCTGCTGGTTTCTTCTTTAGATTGTTCTTTTTATGTACAGTGCCCTGAGACAACATATGTTGTGACTTGGCGCTGTAGCAGGAACGTAAGAAAACAGTCCCACTCAAGAACTTTGAATCAATACTTCCTCCTCCTGCCATATCTATAGAGAACAATGGCTTTCTCCACTGGCCTAACCCTTTTCCTCCACTGTCTACAAATGCTAAAATAAACAGGAACTGCAACCTTCCATTGATTACGCCCTGTTGTGAGATCCCTTTTAAGTGTTCAAAATGGCCGTTTATGTTCTGGGTAAATTTCTGTTGTTTGGTTGTTTGATAAAAAAAAAAGAAGAAAAAGAAACAATGCATTTTTCTATCATGACTCAATCACTGTGATAATATCTTGATTTAATCACTGTACAGGTAACCACATCAATCTGTGTTTGTTCAATCATTATAGCAGCAGAACCGTGATGTCCGTGAAGCGGGTGACACCCCATGTGACTATCTCTCAGCCAAGTGGAAGTTTGTAAAGTCAGGACAAGAGATAACATTTTTATTATTTTTAAAGAGAGTTTTTCAACATCAGAAGAGAGGAAACAGCTTGGCAGAGGCCTTCCTGCCTGCCCTCCCCATGGCTGGTGGGATGGGGCCATCCTGCATCTCCCGCTGATTGATCGAATAGCTCCCGTTTCATATCGGCTCAATATCTGAGTTTGATTTTATAGAAGTCAAATAAGCTAATGGTAATCAATGCGTCGTTTTAGCTTGTTTTTCTCTACAAAGTGGAAATCAAATTTAGAAGTGTTGCAGCCACCTAGAGGACCAGACTACGAGTCACCAGGGAGTGACCCCCTTCTCTGACCAAGGGACCAGTTGAGTTTATCAGGCAGACCGCCTGATATCCAGCTTGCATGGAGAGCCTGCACTCTAAAAATGAAATGTTGGATTTACTTAACCATGTTATGTTACCTGGTTCCACTTTACTGAGTTGAGTAAATTCAAAGCAACATACTCATGTTCTTTGGCTAAAAAACTGGTATATTGCTTTGAATTTACTCAACTCAGTTAAGTGGAACCAGGTAACATAACATGGTTAAGTAAATCCAACATTTCATTTTATACAGTGTGTCTGGAGAACGAACCCCAGAGATGACCTTCCACTGCTGACATCCCTCCTGGTACCCACAAGGCAGAACAAAAGGGTAAAGGTGAACATTTGTCCTGGTGACACACAGGTGCTCAGACTAAATGGATTTTTATCTTTGTATGAGATTTGGTAAACTAAACGATTTTTCTCCCTAATTAACTAGAACGCCCTTAGTTAAAGCCACAGCTAAAAGCAAAACTCACCTCTCAGTGTTTATTTTGTTTATTTGTTTATTTGTTTATTGTTTGTTTGTTTTTTTATTCACTCGTGATTGCAAACCCTTTCAGTTTTTACCTGGTTCAACATGTCATCACTTATTCATGACTCGCCATAGTTGTAAATACATTTAATCTGTAAATAAATGGCTCGTGGAGAACGTGCCAACATAAGCTAATCTCATTTTTGTGTCTTGATAAAAGATATTATTGGTTCTGATAAGACAAGAACTCATAAAATCATTTTGGGTACATTTATTCTGAGACTGATTACAATAAAATTACAGTTTTTCGTCTCTTTCCAGGGTCAATCCTTGATCAAATTAAAAGCGTGGTGCCTCGAGGAATAATATATTTAAATATAATATATTTAAATATATTCACAAATTATCAATTTTTAGAATATACCCAAAATCCCCTACAGCGCCATATAAATAATCTTAGAAGAAGAAAAAGAACTAAGCGTAATATTCTGGACTCAATAATTTTGTTATGAGACTGAATATTTATTTTAGGTAATTACTTGTTTGTTGTTTTACATTAAACAACACCCTCCCACCAGCATTAGAGGCCTGGTACAGCCATGTCTGCAGAATAAATATACTATTTATTACATTTTCAGTATCATGTCTCAGTATATTGTAGATTTTTATATGTATTTCACAATAATTAAAGTAATATGGTTTAAGTCTTATTTAATTGACAGATTCCAGTTTGTAAATGTTAATAATGAATCTTACATTTAGTCATGGAGTTCCTCAGGCTTCAGTGCTTGGACCAATCCTCTTCACTTTAAATATGCTTCCATTAGGTAAAGTTATTAAACAGCATGGGATAAATTTCCATTGTTATGCTGACGTTACTCATTTATATTTATCCATGAGACCTGATTAATCTAATCAGTCACTTAAACTACAAGCATGTCTTAGAAACATAAAAAACTGGATGACTCTTAATTTTTACATCTAAACTCAGATGTAATACGTTTGTATAATGTGTACAGTGCCTTGAGATGACAGTTGTTGTGATTTGGCGCTATAAATAAACTGAACGGAATTAAAGGTATTAAGTTGCTGCCATGTGATTGGCTGATAAGCTGTGTCACTTAAATGTATGATAGAATATACAGTATTTGGTAAAAGTGCATATCAATGGCACACAACAGTTTCCTTTGCTTTGTTTTTACAATGAGTCTGATGAACCAAACTCTGGATTTTCAGTAATAACATTTATTTCTGTCAATTTAGAGCTATTTTAGTGACATGGTCTTTTATTTCTTTAAAGAAATGCTACAATTTTTTTGCTTTTTTCTTAAATGAATTTTTTTGTGTGTGTGACATTAGAAATAAAGTAGATTAAACTGATACTGATGAAGAACAAACTGAAAAAAAGACAAAAACAAATCATTTTTAATGTTTCATAAAAAAACTTTCTCACCCCCCCAAAAAATACATGTTTTTTTTACTAATGAAAGTAACTGACAGTGTTTCATAATTTCACACATTAGAAAGCATGTAGCCTGTTGTAAACATCCATGGTAATTAAATTTAAAGAAGTATAAATTGTTTTGCATAAAACCCAGCCTTCACACACAGCATGATATTTGACTCTCAGCAGTATTTTAAATCTACAAACATTTCTAGGATTAAAAAAAAAGAATAAATTGAACAAAGTTGCAGGGATCCTCCTGCCTTTTCCTCTCCAAGATTCTTTAAAAGAATGAAAGGAAGTAAAAACCCATTTTCAGCACATATAAACCCACAGAGAGACTGATTCAGTGATTAGGACTAACTAAAGGTGTCTGAGTCACAACGCTCTATAGAGTCAAGTGTGTCCTAAAATTCAAAATCACCCTGAACTGTTTGTTTTCATGTTATTATTATTATTATTATCATTATTATTATTGTTGTTGTCATTTTTCCTCACTCTTCTGAGTTGCAAACGAGTCACCAGCAGTTGTATCTCAGTGAGATCCTTTAGTTTCTGCAGAATTCTCCCTGAAGCTCTGATCATACTTATTTTAATCAGGAGGAATCAAGCAGAACCAGGCAAAATGAACACTTTCTAACAAACCTTCCTCACACTAGAATGAAAAATCTTTATGTCTTCATTGAGTATTCAGAGTGAATTCCAGACATTCTGACTGCATTTTGTGACAAGCTAGAATGTTTCGCACGTTTCTAATTTTTCAGGTGCATTTCAAGCGAAGACATATTGTATTTGAAGTGTATTCTCACAGGATCAAACTGCATTCTACATATCATGATCATGAATCACACAAACGCAGTCAGCTGCTGCTGGAGCTTCATTCTGAGTCAAGGACTCGCCTGGGTTAACATTGTGTCAGTTTGTTTTCACACGATGTACACGTTTCACTTATGTCGTGGCTCAAAGACAGAAGAGAGCCAAAGTCAAGAGCCAGGTCTGCGAGATTGTTCAAACGCTTCTCTGTTGCTGAAAATGTCAGAGTCAGCAGGATTTAGTCTTCATCAGAGATCATTCTTGGGTTATATTCTAAATATTCAAGCTGCACTCTGTTTGATTCCTGCTGATTTCAGACATGATGTGACCAGTCCGGAACTAAAGACGGACTGAAACAGTGCTCAGAGCTGCTG